TTGGGAAGGTTATTCAAGGTTAAACCTACCATAAGAAACAAGTAGAATAACTGAATGCAATTAAATAACCTTAAAATAGTAATAACGGCAATAGTAACCTGGGTATTTTGATGGCAATGGTATTTTGACTATGAGCATGTGTTTGTTCTATGTTTTCGTCCTGAGTTATATTTTGCATGGGAGGGCAGTGAATATCCAAAAACTTCTTTTTATTTCATGATATCCACGAGGTCTAATATAAATACTATTTCTTCTTTAAAATCTTCCATTTTATTTCTAAACTATATAGGGTTTTGGAGTATTTATCTTGTTGAAAATTATAGCTGTTTTAGAACTTTTTCCTTCTTTAACGACTTCTGATGTTAGTGCTAGAATGATTTATTCATGTTGCAGCAGATGGGATTAGAGATATTCTTTAATTCACTGACTGGCAAATTTAACACATCGTTTCACAAGATACATATATGAATCCTTTAAATTACATGCTTGTTATACAATGTTTGGGGTACGACATGTCGATACAGACACAGCAACATTAATTTTGACTCTGTTATTTATGTAAAGTCCGATTTTATATCTATTAAGTAGGTCACTGCTATTCATACATATGTCTGTGTAGTGATTAGATTTAATGGTCGACTAAAGAATAGCGGTGCGTGTGTACATAAACAATGCTTATTGTTTATTGTAAGGGACTTGTTTAATTCCTGCTCACGATACAAAGAAGGTACATGCATACGTCAATGACTACAATTATCCTTTTCTTTAAAATAATTTTTCACTACTGCATGTCGGTCATAGTAGTTTTTGTACATCTCTTTATTTCTTTTTAACTTCTTTTCTTTTTTAAAATCTACTGGATTTGGTATAGAAAAATTTATTGTTGAAGACAATCTGGTTCTTAAGACCCTACCTGTTAATATGTCTGATCCTGATATTTTCGTAAAATATTCCTAATGTTATACCTATAGCTATTTAAGCTAATTTGTTAATTTAGTCTAAATCTGAATTAGGGTAATGTGGACTGGATATTAAATTAAAATAAATTAAACTTAAAACCCCACTTCTTAAAAATCTTGACATTCTTTTGAACTATATAGCATGTTGTCAGCATATACTTCTATGGATATACCATATCTAGTGAAAAGTGTCTTTACTGCTAAAATTAGATCTTGTTTTTATTTGCCTCTTACTGATTGCGCCATGTTATATTCTTATAAAATAATGCTTAAAGGTCTATTCGTTTTATTAGGATTTAATTTTACATATCGAAACGTGCATAAATTAAATGAATCATATTCCTTCCATCTTCTTCTTCTTCAAGTGCCATATCCGCAATAGAGGTCATCATAGCTATTCGGACTTTAGAGACATCTGGTTTGAAAAGTTCAATCAATGTACATTCGTACCATTCTCTCAAGTTGCGTATCCGTGATATTTTACATCTTCCTATAATAATACTTTGTCCTTGGATTTTTCTCTGCATAATCAGTTGGAGCAAGTTGTATCTCTCTACACGTATAATATGTCCAAGATATTCCAATTTTCTCTTGTTTTTTTTTTCCTTTTTTAGATTTCCATTTCTTTATTCATCTTTATTAGAACCTCTTTATTTGTGACTTGTTCTGTCCACGATAGTTTCAGAATTGTTCTTTACAACCACAACTTGAATAATTCCTGATTTTTCATTGATGTCGCATTCAAGGTCCAGAATTTTATTCCATAAAAGAAAATCTAGAAAACGTAGCACCTTGCCAATTCCTTACATGACATCCACCAATTGTCTTTTTGTAGTTGTGACTTACATTGTTGTGAATACATCATTGCTATTGAGCCACATACAGGGTGAGTCATGAGGAACTTTACATACATCTACCATATGTAGAGTCCCTCAGGGAGCATATCATGTGGCCACTAAAAAATGTCAACTCCTCTTCTTTATTAATTAACAGGGTGATTTGTGTAATTGATCTTTTATTTCATTTTACTGTAGTGTTTATACGGCTCATTTGATTTTTTAAATTTTTGCATGATACAGTACACTACTATCAAGCATTCGACTGGTATTAGCTAATCTAAAAAATTCCAGGACTGGGTTTGGAAAAATTAATTTAGGGATTCGTATTAAATATTACACCCTGTATATATATATATATATATATATTATATATATATATAATATATATATATATATATAATATATATATTTTTAAATGCAATAAGTGATTTTCAAACTACATAAATAGCCAATGAAAACGACATATGCGACAATGTTGTCGCACTTTTATTAAATTTTTAGTGAACGATCAAATCTTACCAAAAATAGAACAACCATAATGAAGTATCAAATTATAAGGTAATTAATTTAAACAAATGTTATAAATTTCAAACATTTTAATTGAAATGATAAACTGAGTCACTGCACAAAAAACAGTAACTACTAACAATAACGAAGAACAATTTAAAAAAAACTAAAAATATGTACATAGTTATGATAAACCCATAAATTAGAACTGGAAAAGATACAATAATGGTAACAAAATAAAAACAATTCAAAATAGATTTTCGAAATGGAACCCTGCAGCCTGTAGGTACACATTTTTGTTGCCGAATTGTTAATTGACGTATTGAATTACGGATACTCTGGGGATCGTTTCTAATAGTATTACAACAATGTATAATTCTATCAATTAATTGTTGTCGGTTATTAATATTCACTGCGTAAACTAGTTGCTTCAATCGTCCCCAAATATGGTAATCAACGGGATTGAAATCAGGGGATCTTGAAGGCCACGAAATAGGACCTGCACGTCCTATCCACCTGTTGCCATAAACATTATTGAGATGTTATCTCACTGCCAGTAAAAAGTGTGGGGGTGCCCCATCATGCTGAAAATACATCCCTCAGATAGCAACGTTCGCGTGGCAAGCAAATTCGGCAAAATATTTTGTAGAAAGTTCAAATAGACCTGCCCTGTTAAAGGACCATCAAAAAAGTGAGAACCTACTAATTGGTTATTTATGACACCAATCCACACGTTAACCGAAAACCTTAACTGAGAACGACGTGTTCTCGAATAGCATGGGGATTTTCTTCTGCCCATAGATGTGAATTTCGTGAATTATTTATCCCGTCTCTGGTAAATTGGGCTTAATCTGTAAATAGTGTCCTGTATAGCGTTGGTCGATTTTTGTTAATCCATCTACAAAATTCCAACCTATCGATCTCATCTCCAGCATGTAGTCGCTGAACCATTTGAATGTGATATGGGTATAGATTATTTTTTTGTAAGACTCTACTTACTTTTGATTGAGTAACATTGAGTTCTCGACTTACTTGTCTAGTGCTTATTGTAGGGTTCATAGTAACGGCGTTCCATAATGTCATCTTCCTACGCTTCATCTACATGTCGCTCTGTTGTTCCACTAGGAAAAGTGCCATTTTCTCGGATGACTGGGAGTTCGACGATTAGGAAATCTCCTGCGAAAGTCTCTACTAGCAGCCCTACCATTCCCATTACAGAATCCATAAACAAATATTTTGTCTGCATATTCTATGGTCGAAAACTAAAGTGGCATTTTGAACGAAAGTAACAAAAGCTCTACCAAAACTAACACAATGTACTTAACGTAGATATGACAGAAGAAATATGTATTCTTGTAGACATAAATAACAATTGATAATGACAATAATGACAATGGGTATAAAATATCAAGAAACGTCAAACGGTCAACGCCAACCTTCATTTTAAACTTTTTTAGATTTATTTTTATTTAGTACAGTTGATGCAATGTATTATTATTTGACATAAAATTTTAATCATTTACAATCAACAAAAACTAACACATACAAGAGGTTTGACTTTTTAATCAATTTAATTTATTATTTATCGAAAATATTGCCCCAATACGATCTATGAGTAAAAATTTCAAATTGAAAAACAATTGATTCTATCGTAGAGATAATACAAAGTGACAGTAAAGATGTTAATTTTCTACGTATTAGATTATGTTGTAGGAACTCATTTTAATTCAAATGTTTGAAATTTATAACATTTGTTTAAATTAATACCTTATAATTTGATATTTCATTATGGTTGTTCTATTTTTGGTAAGCTTTGATCGTTCACTAAAAATTTTATAAAAGTGCGACAACATTGTTGCATATGTCGTTTTCATTGGATATTTATGTAGTTTGAAAATTACTTATTGCATTTAAAAAAAATATATAGGGTGTAATATTTAATACGAATCCCTAAATTAATTTTTCCAAAGCCAGTCCTGGAATTTTTTAGTTTAGCTAATACCAGTCGAATGCTTGATAGTAGTGTACTGTATCATGCAAAAATTAAAAAAATCAAATAAGCCGTATAAACACTACAGTAAAATGAAATAAATGGTCAATTACACAAATCACCCTGTTAATTAATAAAGAAGAGGAGTTAACATTTTTTAGTGGCCACATGATATGCTCCCCGAGGGACTCTACATATGGTAGAAGTATGTAAAGTTCCTCATGACTCACCCTGTATAATAAACTGATAAGACACCTGCCATTAGTTAATTGCCTCGCCCTTTTTCAAAATACATTGGATTTTAAGAAATACCGTTTCTTTGACTATTTGTGATTATGGGGTCACACTGAATAATAATCAACTTAATTAAGCCATAAAATCAAGATTCTTTCTAATGAATTCTATAAATTAAGAAAACAAAAAATAATTTCATTAGCATGAAACCCATAATTAAATAACAATATACGTCTAGTTACTGCAGCCACATATTTCAAACAGTAAAAAATTTCAAGTTCGATTAAATCGCATCTAGTTTAGTGCTTGTGATTATGGGGTCACACTGAATAATAATCAACTTAATTAAGCCATAAAATCAAGATTCTTTCTAATGAATTCTATAAATTAAGAAAACAAAAAATAATTTCATTAGCATGAAACCCATAATTAAATAACAATATACGTCTAGTTACTGCAGCCACATATTTCAAACAGTAAAAAATTTCAAGTTCGATTAAATCGCATCTAGTTTAGTGCTTGCTATTCGTATACAAGAATGTGATTCAAGGATATAGGCAATGTTAATTGTTTCAAAAGTAAACCTTGTCAAAGGATGAATGAAACGATTCTAATAAAATGTGCATTTATTGTAAACTGTTCGTGTAGTTGACAATTCTTTCTTGTGCGTCTAGGATAAGTTAAATTAAAAGTAAGTTAAACATTTTATAATTAACATGCTTGTACGTGTTTAAACTAAATGATGGATTTGAATACGATTTGTATCTTCTTTATTGGACAAATTATCTGGACATACATTAATGGACAATTTTCTTTTATATACTTCTCAAATAATTCAGTGAAAAAGGTTAGATTACGTTCATTATGTGTGTCTAACCACCCTTTCAGCAGATATAAAATTTATCAACTATCCTTCTGTCGTTCATTTCGCTAATCTACTATGTATTTCTTTTTTTTTGGTTGTATCAATTAATTATTTATATTTTTCGGATGCTTTCACTTTTTATCTATTAGTTTTCTAGTTGTTATTGGTAGATTTTATTTTAGTTTGTTTAACATTGTCAGCATTGTCTCAGCATTCAAAGCACACTCATTCGATTTTGTTTTCAGTTGGCATAAGATTTTCTTTGGTTAGATTGCGGACTAATTTCTGATATGGAGAATATCGCTTATTCCAGATATTACTAGTTATTTTCCTATTTCTACCGATATTTAGCCTTTCTTTATTTTCTTTTCTATTAGATGATAAGATCCTTGTAAGATATTTTAATCTAATTTGTCAATGTAACCAATAAGCAATTTTTTATTTAACTAAATAACATAATTTATTACTAATCTTCGACGGGCTACATAAGTACAATTGTACCTTTTGAATTTTCAAATTGTGATATCTTGTTTTTAAAAAATTAAAGACTTGAACTTTTGTGAAATCTCTACATTTATGCTGTATGTAAGCATACAAAGAATGTTCATAACACACAGGTGGAAAACATACTACACAACTTTTTCTCGTTTTACGCTTTTTCCATTCGTTTTCCCGAGATATTTGAGGAGAAGTAGCTAATATTATGTTTCGACCAAGGATCATTTCTACAGCACTACGTAGAAAAAGTCTTCTCATCATCATCTGGTTTTTACTTCGAGATTAAACTGAAGTCAAACAAAGATCTTTAACAAAATCCTTCAAAAATTGCCTGTGTTGGTTCTTTATTTTTTGTAATGAATTGTGCTCTAGATATGTAATGTAGGATGCTAAGTGAGTGACGTCAATCATATTATAAAAAAGGCCAAGAACCAACGCAATGTTCAACGCTTGACCGGATACCTATCATTTTATCCATGGTGCCACCTTTGGTTTTATTGTAATACTTAATTACTTCCGGCTACGCTACTTTACTGTCTTCTACTTGTCCTGTAATATGCATGGGCAAGAGTAACACTACTGCTTTATTTATTTGGTACATAAAATCATACAGAAGCATCATGATTGTATGCAAAATTCGTGGAAAAACAATTCTTTGCTTATTTGCTTGCATATTTGTGGATATCAATCTCTTATTTTTTTGCTGTGCTCACTGACGTCATATGCCATGAATTCAGAACTTCAGCAAAATCAAAACTGGCAAAAAAGTCATCTGTGTTAACATTCCGCTAAGAACCTTAGAACCTTTATAAGACGTAACCAGAGCCAAAACTGTTCGTTCGCCAACGGTAACTTGTGGGGAACCATATGCTGCTTTTCCAATATAAAGTGACCTTTTAAGGTATAAGCTTTTAATGCATAATAAGCCCAAAATACCTTGTTCCTATATTTAGAGGGTTTGGAAGGCATATATTGTGTAAGATTTGTGGAGAATTAAACGGAAATAATTGTTCGTCGATGGTTATGCATTGGGATGATTCGTAGCCTTATTGCAAATTTTTATTAAGCATTGTGCAGATATCTCGTACAGGTGCAGCCATTTTAATTCTTTGAGTTTTAGGCGGGTATTTTCGTTGTAAAATCTTATAAATTGTAGCATAAAAAAACCACGAAAAATTTCTGCTTGTATTAGTAGCAGAGAATTCATACTTCACATCTGACACAAGTTTTTTTTATTGTTTTTATGTACACCAGCCACAATTAGGATTAAAAAAAAATGCGTCGAGCTCACATTCAGTAAATCCTTTTTACGTGGAGGCCATCTTAAAGCATTTGGAAATCCTTTCGATCATTCTTTATTAAAAGCCTCACAGACTTTTTTGCCTCTGCAGTTTGTTTCACGCAAAATTTGTGACAAATTTCTGATTTCATATTTGACATGAATATTTGTTTAGGCCACAGAATACATCACCCAACAAGGAGCGAAACGAAGGGCTTTTTCGCAATCCAAATTTCTGTGATATCCGCTATATTCTAAATAGTTTATCTGTCAACCTATAAAAACTAAAGTTTGTTTACGTATTGAGAATTATTGTTTCGTGTGTGTTGTGTGATAGTAAAAAAAACAATAATACTGTTGTACATATTTTTGTATATGCATATATATATATATAATATATATATATATAATATATATATATATATATATATATATATATATATATATAAATATTAGTATACGACTACACAAAGACATAGAAAAATTCAGCTTAGGTCGAGAAGTTAGACAAGGAGACAGTATTTTCTACAAAATTGTTCACGGCAGCTCTAGAGTCAATATTTAGGATCACTCAATGGCAAGATATGGGCATCAATATGGATGGAGAAAGATTAAATCACCTAAGATTTGCAGATGATGTATTAATCGCAGATAATTTACAAGATACAGTTTCTATGATGCATTCGCTTAAAAGTCCGTCAGAAAGAGCAGGATTAAAGATAAACTTTGGAGAAAACTAAACTTATAACAAATCTCGTAATGAGTGGAAATATAAGTATTGACAATAATACAATACAACAAACAGACACTTACAAATAATCAGAGACAATCAAACACATGAAATACAGAGGCGATTAGGCCTAACTTAGGCAGCATTTGGCAAATTAAGCCATATTCTAAAAAGTTAAATTCCCATTTGTCTCAAGCGAAAGGTTATAACCAATGTTTTTCACCTGTACAAACTTATGGAGTGGAGACTTTAACACTCACGCAAAAATCTGCGAATAAACTCAGAGTTACGCAACGAGCCATGGAACGTGCAATGCTGAACGTGAGCCTTCGAAACCACAGAACAAACAAACAAATCAGACAAAGATCAGGAGTTCAAGACGTCATCTAAAGAACCACGTCGCTTAAGTGGAACTGGGCAGGGCACTTAGCCAGAGCACAAAATGGACGGTGGACAAGAAGTATTATGGAATGGAGGCCCAGAAACTATAAAAGAAGCCGATGACGACCCCCGACTAGATGGACCGATGATATAAAACGTAGAGCGGGAAACTGGCTTCAAGCGGCCCAGTGTAGAGATCACTGGAAAGAACTGAGGGAGGCCTATGTCCATATATATATAAATATATATATATATAATATATATATATATAATATAATATATATATATATATATATATATATACCCAAAAGGATGATAACGGGTACGAGTACTATGTAGTGAAAAGGAGATAATACTGGGAAATACCCTTTTATAACTGAGGAAGCAAAATAAAACTAGGGTGCTTCGTTAGATGTGCTTTTTAATTAAAGGTCTAAGCTTTCGTCAATGATTATTGACATCATCAGAGTAAACTACAAACAAACGAGAGAACAAACAATGAACAAGTGGAAACTAAGTATACAAATTTATAAAACACTTACCCTAATTCTAGCAAGTAACTCAGTGACTTGGGTTGAACACAAAGAAAGTATGATCTATGTATATATTAAACATAGTTGCAGATACATAAGAAGTGGTATCCATAGTTTACAATGTGTTTTTTTTTTATTTAATTAATAACGATATATTTACTATAAATCTAACCACAAACAATTGAAAAATTTACACGTAGTTTTAAAACAATCTAAAAGTAATTAACAATTTACGGCGGTGTCACTAAACTTGTTTGAAATAGCGGGATAATTGAAAATGTAAACATGACATATATAATCTAAAATGTTAACAACGAATACTGAAATAAATATAAAATATAAAAAATAAAATAATTAAAATTGTCCATTAAACGGGTGATTGAAAATATAATAAAATAATACAGATGAGGAAATGTTTTTTATAATAATGATGGAGATATAGTATTTTTTTATATTATATATTTTTAAATTAAAATAGTTAAAAATCTAACCTATATCACTCATATATCTAGGCGACAATTTTTTTATTCCTGAAATATTTTGTTTAAGCAGGAAGGTGTAGATTGAACTTAAATTATCCACATCCTCTTGTGATTGATGGCATTTTTCGCATTATAAATGTAACACATCTCAAGTATTTTACGCTGAAAATTTCTATTAGACACATCTAAGATGAATGTGTCATTATAGAGGCTCTGTGATCTTTGCTATTGACGTGAATACTAAGACTTGTAGATTGTGGTTTGAGTCTGCAATCACTTTTATGAAGGGCCAATCTAACGAAGCACCCTAGTTTTATTTTGCTTCCTCAGTTATAAAAGGGTATTTCTCAGTATTATCTCCTTTTCACTATATATAATATATATATATATATATATATATATATATATATATATAATATATATACATATATATATATATACATATATATATATATATATATAAATATATATATAAATATATATATATATACCCTAATATTTTAATACCCTAAAAATATGTGTAATAATATAAAAATATATAATATACTAGTAAAAAAGAATAATACTCTTATACATAATTTTTTATACCTAATATTAATAAAAGTAATAGAAATTGACTGATTTCGTGATAGTACGTTTAATTTGTTTGTTAAAAAAGAAAACAAATCGATATTTTTGACTTAAGACCCTTTATTTATCAGTACAGAATTGATATATAGGTTGTATTAAATGTTACAGAAAATTATATAATTCATACAAAACATTAGTTTCAATACAATTCATACTTCAAAAAAATTTTAGTTTTAATGATTACTTCGTTTTTCAGTGTAACTAGAATTATTATACGCTAACAGTCTTGAACGACTTGTTTTCGACACATGTATTGTATTTACTCGTATATAAATTGCTATTAGTTGCACGTT